AGACGGCGAAGTAAATGGTAAAAAGTATACACCGTTGGTAGACACTAGAGCAACTAGGACCATTATACGACCAACAACCATAAAGAACTGTAAGAGACTTCTACCAACAAGATTGCGACTGCGGACTGCCACAGGTAAAAGTGCCAACATCTATGGGGAAATTCAGGTTCAATTGGGAATTGGTACAGAAAAGTTCACTTATACTATTATTGTCGCTGATATCAAAGAAGATGTTATTCATGGAAGGGATGTAATGAACTTACATGGTTTCCAGTTGGACTTTAAGAACAGAGTGATCAAAGTTGTTGCCGAAGAGGTATTCCTACATCCATATGGGGACAGTACAGTGCCAGTTGCTGTACAGGAGGATACGGTGGTACCTGGCAGAAGTGAAGGTGCTTTCGCCTCTTATCTAGCGGCGGAGTGGTAAGTTCGCCACCCTTTGTCTTGTTTATCAAGGCTCTGGTAAGTCCATCCGAAACTCTTAAACAGTTCTTAAAAAATGATTTACAAACAGATACCATGTCACCTGATTCTTTTGGTAATGTGTATATTCGTATCTTAGAATGTTTATAAGGATTCTGAGCTGTTGTATCGCGTCCTTTATTCACAGTATTTACTTGCGCGCTTATGTAATAGTTAACAGCGAATGCCACTTTCGACGACAGCTACAAATACCATCAAAAAATTTCTTCTCAGGAATAAGATTACCACGAGAGTTTAGATAGCATTTTCCCGAATTCCTTTTTATCTTAGAGTTATGCCTCGCCCAACCTTTGCTTATTTTGTGTTCGCTTTTTACCCTTACTTGACTAGCAACTTCATTTTCTTCCAAGCTTTGCTCAGACATGGACCACTCAACTTCTGATGATGGATGGCAGTCAGATCCAGAATCAGTCTCAAATTAACTTGGCTCACAAATACTGGATGTATCAGACAACGACATTTCTAATCTGAAACAAAGAAATCTTGAATATTTATATCAATATTCTTAAAATTAAGAACATTTTACAATTCTGGCAACACCGCTTTGTAAAGTAGCGAGGCTTTCCCATACTATTGCTAAATACATTTTAGGTTATAATCTTAGAAATAAATACTTTCAATTCACATCCAAAATCAAGTAATCTAAACCACTATTTGTGTAAAATAGCTAAAATAGTAGCTACTTACCTTTACATAAATATGCACAAATCCAGATAAAATCAAAAGCTTATTATATACTTGAAGAATGAATAAACATGAGTCGTAAGTAACATATCCACAGTTACCGGTAAATATAAAAAAAATTCGGTGTTAATAATCAAATATCGATATTCACATACCAGAAAGGGCCAGAAGCCAGAAAATAGAGAAATACAAAATAAATCAATCTGGTATATAAAAGGTTCGCAGATGAAAAACAGCACCGGAGCTGGGATTTTCCATACGAGCTCAGAGAGAACCATTAGCATAAATCTGGGGTCATGGGTTATGCTAAATGACTCTCTTAGAGGTAATATGATCTTTATTATAACAAACTGGCAACCCTTAAAGCACTGAACAGGAAAAATTACAAGCCATATTAGATTGCTAACAGTTCCTCCAGGCCCTGCAGAACATAATAGGGTCACTCTTGAATTGTTGCCGGGTCCTGAAGAAGTGTTGGTAAACTAGAAAGCAGACCTCCTAGCAAGGAAAGGAGCTGAGAAAACTTGAATTGGATCAGCACCCATATGTGGTATTTCATATCAACATGGTAAATGGGTGAACCCTAAATGGTAACGGAAATGGCACTTCGGGGTATAATATCAGAACCTTAACACATCGCAAAAGCACCAATCAAACATATTCCTAAATTCACCAAGAATATTAACCTGATGGGGTAGAAACTGACTGAGAGGGGTACAATAAGCCTAGAGCTTCAGGACAAGTGTGCTTTGAACCACACCCTAATTCAGTTAGGTAGAATTCGACATAATCTGTTAATGTATGACCATAGGATAACAGTTGGTGTGTCTTTTGTTTTGGAATAGACAGGATTGTGTTTTAGACACATTGAAATATGTCAATTAGATCATATTAATAGACAACAAACCTTAGTTTCCCAATTAGTTGTAATATTAGTTTACTTCTGTTGTCGAGCTCTTCGGAAGATGACTGAAAGTATATGATTAATTAATTAAACAAGTGTATGTTATACCACCAATTAAATAATACCGGGTATTCCATTTAAAAATTGAGAAAATGATAACCTCGCGTTTTTACAAACCCTATAGCAAATGAATAAAGTAAATTTAAATTGTCTGACGCTGTAAAAATAATCAAATATATATAACTACCTTTAGGGTGATTTGCTTTAAAAAAGTATAGCTTCGGTCAGCATCTCGTCAGTGGTCTACCCTGTATATTGAAGAATAATTATTAAATATGGTAATACAACTTTTAATTTGAAAATTTCTTCGTATTTCCAATAATAAAAGAGCTATCGATCAATTACGCACTGATGGGACGCCTTGTGTATGTGTTATTGGCTAACATGTTGGTATCATTGGATATGCAAATTTATAAGGAATTTTATGCTAAAATAATATAAAGGGTGTTGTATTTAAAAAATTAAGTAAATTGAACCTAAAATTAGCCATATTTAACACTATAAAATGAACTCCACTATTAACTTAGTATTTTAAAGGTCTGTATATTATACAATTTTGAAATGAATGTAAATCTATCTAAATTATAAGTTTAATTTAGGGTCTGTATCATTCTCTAATTTCATAAAAAATTAACTGTTTGGCAATCCTGTGATGTTCTAGGATTGACTATAGTACTATCAAACCATTCTAAAAATAAAATAAAATATATTTAAAATATGTATTTTTCAAATCCATTTAACTTTCATTCGAAACTTTTTTTTGTGTCTATAACACAAATTGAAATATTGAACAATTACACACTAATGGGACACCCTGTATATTACAAAAAATTTGTATTGGGATTATCGATAATCGCATAAGCTATTGCACGAAACGTGTTGTCAAAAATTAATTGTCATTAAATATGACAGTACCAAAACAATAACTGCAATGAGATAACATTGACAAACCTGCCTACTAGATTTTAATAGCATTAATTGAAATTGAATGGGATTATATACTAAAGAATCAAGTCATAAAAAAGTAGATTGGAGAAAATTAAGAAAATATTTGAAAAAATTATATTAGACATGAATGGAGGTTAACCAGAAATCGCATATAGCTCTTAAAAACAGGGGTATAAGGTTACTTCGTTATGAAAAAAATATTGATTAACTATTTGTCGCATAACACCATCCAATTGTACCAATTGCATATGAAGAGCACAGAGTAAAAAGAATCAGGGTCTCAAAAACTACTTTTCGTAGAAAAAACAAAACAAAGTTTACAGACTTATATTTAATGATAACAGTTACAAAGTATCAAGGATATGCTAATACCCAATTATTGCCAATCTATTTATATGCAAAATACATTATCTGTAAAAGCTTCTATCATAAGCTACCACCAAATTCTGAGCGGAAGATGTAACAATACTTCACTTAAAACTTGACAGAAGCGATCCAAAACCATGATCGTTTTTAAATGTTACAACGTATGAGATAGAAGACTTAAAATGTTGTAAGTGTGCAGAATTAGAAATAAAATAAATTTTTTCTACGTTTATGCAAAAAACAAAACTTTATTGAACTATATTTAGTGAAAAAACTGGGTCTTTATTGCACTAGTGCAATAAAAATTTTATTGCACTCATCTGTCATTTTACTACAGCGTTTTATGATCATGACAAACATAAATATTCAAATCAACGCCAAATATTTAGTCCATTTTCATTTTCTGTGTTACGTTTTAAAAACAATTGCATATTTTATATTATTTTCAATCATTTAATAAATAAATTAATAAAAAAATGTATTTTATTAAAAATGTCTACAAATTATGAACACAAACGTAAATAAATGCCTCAAAGAAAGGTACACGATCACAGCTACTATGGTTTGGATAATACAACTGCAGTTTTATAAAACATCTTTTGGTTTTTGGATGAACGTAGAAAAAATATTGTATGCAACTCGTGCAAAAAGTGTTTATTGCACTCGACGTGTTCGTTGGACAATTTCACGTCGCGTGCAATAAACACTTACTTTTTGCACTTGTTGCATAAATAACTATTAGTCAATTTAAACACTTTTGAGAGGTAAAATCCGAACGTAAATTTCATTTTTTAATATTATTTAAATTGGAAATCGGTAAATACAAAATAACAATTAATGATTAAAATGAATTCAAAACATGTATAACCAAAACTATTTAGATGTACATTGGAAGTGAGTTCTTTTAATACATTGCTTTCACATCTGAACGCGATTTATCAGGATCATCACACTCAACTCAAAGAGTAGAAGTAAAATACAGAAACTGTGATCGTTTTACTCAAATTCCGACCATACCAGCAGAAAGCTTGGATCTAAAACTACAAGATGGCAGTGTTACTTCATTTTCAACAAAAATGGACTCAACAAAAATGGACTCTAATATATTTTTCCCTGTTCTCTTCATATCATTATCAGCACATAATGTACGATATTAATCAACTAATAGTATAGGAAATTATTACATTGTAAGGGATATAATCAGTCAAATATAAAAAATTATGAAATATTGCTTTTCATCCATGTCCTTTTAAAATTTACTGTCGTTTGCAATTATGTAAACAATTCTCTTTTTAAATCTATGCCAATCAATCATTTATTATTTCTAAAATTGACAGCTTTTACAACAAGAAGTTTAGGTACACAATTAACTTATTATATCTATTTATTGATGATTATTCCATTTTTGATAACCATTTATGCTTCTTTGTTGTGTAAAACTTTCTTCCATGTACAGGTTAAAAAGTAACACTCATTTATATCGCTATATCTTTCAGTTATTTTAACAGTAACTTCTCAAAAGATATTAATCTTAAGTTTGGCGCCTCTTTAGGTTTCCACTAAGTTTTCTGCTCAAGAAATGGAATCATACGCAGCCGCCGGATCTATAGCGGAGGAGGTACTCAGCTCCATAAAAACTGTAGTTGCTTTTGAAGGCCATGACAAGGAAACAAGCAGGTATAACACTCAACTCAGGTTTGCTAAAAAAAATAACATAAAGAGAGGATTTTTTAACGCAATAAGTAACGGATGTTTATGGTTTTTCGTATACGCCTGTTATGCTCTTTCCTTTTGGTACGGTGTTACGTTAATTCTAGAGGAAAGACACCTACCAGAAGAGGAACAAATTTATACTCCAGGAAATATGGTCACAGTAAGTAATTTTTTCTTGTTTTTATACGTTTCTCTGTAATATGTTTTATTTCTTGCAGGTTTTCTTTTCCACGCTAATTGCTACTTGGAATTTTGGACAAGGAGCGCCATTATTAGAAACTTTTGGTACAGCTAAAGGTGCAGCTCAGAAAATTTTTACTGTGTTAGAGAGTGAACCAAAAATTAAAAAATATGTAAATACTGGTAGAAAACCAAAAAAATTTATGAAGCACATTAAATTTGAACACGTATTTTTTAATTATCCTTCCAGACCAGATGTAAAGGTAAAATATTTTTTTTCCTATTCCTTAAGTCTTAAACTGAATATCTTCTGTACCTTACTCCAGATGTGCAAGTTATTTTATCGATTAGTCCCTTACTCATCTTCGATTTGTGTTAAGGTTTTCGACTATTTACGTCCTTGTATCACAAATTGTAGCATATTCTTTTATCCTACAATCTGTGAAGAGTTTTCTTAAAAACACCTTATGTTTATTGCTTAAATGACCCCTTTAATTAAATTTTTCTAAAAATGGTTAATCATTTACCACGCTTCATAAAAGATTATTGTAGGTTCTTCAAGGTTTCAATCTGCAAATTGATCATGGTGAGACCGTTGCGTTGGTAGGAAGCTCTGGATGCGGAAAGTCTACCTGTATTCAGTTGCTTCAAAGATTTTATGATCCATTAATTGGAAAAGTAAGTCCTTTTGGTTTTTTAAACTAGAATAATTATTAAATTAAATCAATGTATATTTCTAGGTAAAAATTGATGATATAAATATTCGAGATTTGAACATGACATGGTTAAAACAAAAAATTGCCGTTGTTAGTCAAGAACCAGCTCTTTTTGGTACAACCGTAGCTGAGAACATAAGGTATGGAAAACTAACTGCTACTCAACATGAAATAGAAGAAGCTGCTAAAAAAGCTAATGCTCATAGATTTATAATGACTTTACCCCACGGCTATCAAACCATTCTTGGTGAAAGAGGTTCTCAGTTATCTGGAGGCCAAAAGCAGAGAATAGCAATAGCTAGAGCTTTAGTAAAGAAACCAGAAATTTTACTTTTGGACGAAGCTACTTCAGCTTTGGATACTACAAGTGAGGCGGAAGTTCAAGCTGCTTTGGATTCAGTAAGTTATTTAATGCATACTTTTCTTTTTCTTTGCTTGCTACTTTTGCTCCTTATTCCTATTGGTAGACCGTTTAAATTTCAGATTAGTGGTGCTTGTACTACAATAATAGTTGCTCATAGGTTATCAACTATTAGAAACGCCAATAGAATAGTGGTTGTAAATGCAGGAAAAGTTTTGGAAGTAGGCACTCACTCCGAACTCATGGACAAACAAGGAGAATATTATAATTTAATAACATCACAAGGATTAACTGACACAAATGAGGATAAAGGTAAATAATCATTTTTAATAAAGCAGTACCTCGGAGTTAAACGGCACTATGTTATTCTAGTTAACTTTTTAGTAGAGCAGATTAAATTTTGTTTGGACATTTTTTGTGTTCCATAATTACATACATTTTAATTATATTTAGACAAAAATGCAGTTAGACCCAATTATTGTCACAATATTAATATATTTATGTATTGTTTACAAATTTAACTAATGAAGCTTCGAGTATTTTAATTGTTCTGATAGTAAATCTATGACAGAGTGTCATAAACCTCCAGCATACCTCGATGAATAATACGACTAACATGAGAGTTAAAAACACTGGAGTTGTTTACATCGTATGTTTATTTAACATAGTGGTATATTTTTGGCTAACTTTTATTGTAGTGTCACTAATACATGGTGTAGTATACCCATGGAAAGATCTCGATGAGCTAAGTTTAAAAATATAACTTTTATAAAACTGCATTATGTCGATATAGTATAGTTTACCTTAGAGGTACTGAAAGATACTGCTCTTTTTGAAATATAGATCTATATTTAATATTCGTTAACTGTTTTGTAACAAACTAATAAAAATATTTTTTGAGGAAGGTAGTAAAAGGTTGAGTAGAGCTTTAAGTGCAGGAGCAAAATCCGCATGTTCAGAATATGACGAGGAATATGAGGAAGAAGCAATTGTGAGTGAATAAAATTGATGAAAATAAATGTTACTATTAATTAATTTTGAAGGTTGAACAGCCTAAAACCAAAGGAGTTTTGGGAAAAGTAATGAAAATGAATAGAGGAGAATGGTTTTACATTTTGTTGGGATGCTTATCGTCAATTGTCACCGGAGCGTCTCTGCCTGTTTATGGGCTTGTTTTTGGTGGAATTATGGGGGTAAATGGAAGATAATGAAAGATAAATATTAATAAAGTTTAAAAATATTTTATTCATTCCAGGTTTTAGCAAATGATCAAGACGAAGTAGTTAGATCGGAAAGTAATATATACTGCGTCTATTTTCTGATATTAGGTATTGCCACAGGATTGGCTATGTTCATGCAAGTGAGTTATGGTTTTGCATCTAAAGGTACGTTTACATCTGACATTTATTGCATGAGATTTATCTCTGATAGCTGTTTAGTCCAGTGTAAACCCACAAAAATTTCTCTCGGAGATATATGTTTGAGTGTTTACACTCAGACATAATTCTCATGCAACGAATGTCAGATGTAAACGTACCTTTAAATTCAACGAATTATTTTTGACGTAGGTATAACACTTTAAAGATAACTCATATTTATTTCAGATGTTCACGTTCGTCATAGCAGGCGAAAGCCTTACTTTGAAGATAAGAGCCAATACGTTTATGGCTATGTTAAAACAAGAAATTGGATGGTATGATAGAAAAGAGAATGGTGTGGGTGCACTTTGTGCTCAATTAGCAAGTGATGCTGGGGCAGTTCAAGGAGTAAGAATATATTTTAATACTGGTAGAGTTTACCCTTGCGTTGAATTTAAAAATAATTAGGCACATTTTTCTTATGTCACTTAATTATTGTTGATCATTTCAAGGTACTTTTTGGTTTTTCAAAACTGCCTTTTGGATTAGTTCAAATAAGTAGAAGTTAATAATATGTCCTAGAAGTAATGTAGTCAAAGCTGTATCTGAAGCTACTTATGCATTATTTTTGGAACATAGAAAGAGAATAGAGTACACATCAATATCAACAAATATTTAACATATTTAAAATAACTGTCATATTATGTTAATATTTTTATGTGTACGAGGCTGGGCTGAAAAATAATCGGCCTAAGCAAGAAAACACAACTTTTTTTGGCAAAACTCAATTTATTTTTCAACATAGTCCCCTTTAAGCTCTATACACTTTGTCCAACGATTCTCCAATTTTTCGATGCCCTTTGAATAATACAATTTCTCGAAGTCCTTAAAATAGGCCTCTGTCGCAGCGATGACCTCCCCATTCGACTCAAATCTCTTACCACCGAGCCATTTTTTCAAGTCTGGGAACAGATAATAGTCGCAGGGCGCCAAATCTGGGGAGTATGGCGGATGAGAAACCAATTCGTAACGCAATTCATACAGTTTTGCCATTGCGACTGTACATTTGTGTACCGGTGCGTTGTCCTGGTGGAAGAGTACTTTCTTCTTCGCTAAATGCGGTTATTTTTGCATCAAATCGTCATCGAATCGGTCCAACAGCTTTGAGTAATAATCGCCGGTGATGGTTTTGCCCTTTTCAAGGTAAGCAAATGAATAATACCGTGCGGATCCCAAAAAACTGTGGCCATGACCTTGTTGGCAGACAGACCCACCTTGGCTTTGACTCGCCCTGAGAAACCCACTACTTTGACTGTTCCTTCGTCTCTGGCGTATTGTGATGAATCCATGTTTCATCCACGGTTACAAAACGGAGCAAAAAGTCATTCTTATTGTGGTTAAACATTGCCAAACACTCCTTTGAAGTTGTCACACGGTTTCTCTTGTCGGCAATGAGCAAACGCGGCACCCATCTGGCAGCGAGCTTCGTCATTCCCAAATATTCGTGCAATCTATTCTCCACTCGTTCACGTGAGATGCCCACAGCCTCAGTAATCTCACACACTCTTACCCGTTGATCGTCAATTACCATACCATGGATTTTATCGACCACTTCTGGTGAGGTGACCTCTCTTGGACGGTCTGGACGCTCATCATCAAAAATTATCGTACGACCGCGTTTAAATTCGGCAGTCCAATATTTTATTGTTGATAACGAAGGTGCAGAGTCCCCATACACATCATCTAGTTCGATTTTGATCTCATCGTTTTTTTTAAAAACAAGAATCTAATCATTGCGCGATATTCGATTTTATTCATTTTTGTAAAAATGCAAAATCTGTTAGCCTTCAATCACTGTCAAGTACAAACTAAGTGACGCAGCTCGCTGAAAATTTGACAGAAGTCACTTAAAAGATAGTTTTTACAATAAACCATTGTTGCTAGCGCCGCCTCGTATGTACATGATAATAATGGATAACAACGTTTGGGTGTGAATCTTTACTATGAAGGTCTTTGGTAGAATACAGGTTCCGAAGTTACCAAAAAATGTCGGGCAAATACGTTATAGTATAAAAGCTGATTTTTTAACATAACTAGATAACATTATAATCTTCAATCAACGATTCTTGACATTTTCGAGGGGATAACGTCTGCCAGACGCTTTCAAAATTGATCGGTCTGGCGGTCGCTGGCTCTTAGTCTATATCTATAGTATTTTTTTTCAAATTTTATCCAAATTTCATCAGACTCGACACTGTATTCGAACTGTCATACATGTCAAGAGTATAGTCTGTTGCAATTTATAGTCTCGCTTTAAACCTTCTAGCATATTACTGCTCGAAGCTTTAAACATGAAGGAAGGTTGTGTATTAGCCGGAACAGGGACGGTGCTCCCAAATGGACTTAATGTTTTCTGTTTGGGAAACAAACATGATAATATGTAGTCGACGAAGGAAATTAGGTTAAAGGATCCCATAATCTACTACTAAAAATTGAAATTTTGTAGCATTAGATGATCCAATTTTTATTTTTGAAAAGCAAGCAAAGTATGATACTGCGTTGTTCAAATTAAATTGTTATAATAAATGTATTTGCAGTTTCAAATATTTTCATAAAGTTAATTGTATCAGATTTTAAATTCACTACTTTTTGTCTTTTAATATAATGTTTTCTTGTAGTTACGAAACAAAAAAATTATCATTGAATCTCTGTTCTAGGCAGCTGGTGTACAAATAGGAACAACTTTAAATTTTATTTCAACTTTCGTTTTGACTTGTGCTTTTGCGTTTTACTACGAATGGAGGATTACACTTGTGCTACTGTCTTTGTCCCCAGCAATATTTTTTTCAATTTATTTCGAACAAAAGATGATGAACGAAGATGCTAGAAAGAACCAAAAGATGCTTGAAAAGTCGGCAAAGGTAAGTTATAAAACTACTGTTTACTAATAACTTTCTATTTTCTAGAGTTCTTTGGGAGAGAATCACAAAATATATAATAGTGTTTCTTTTGAAAGGTAATCTTTTTCAAAATAAAAAAAAAAAATCCAACGTTTTGCAGTCGCATAGTAATATTTGTCTGTTTTAGGTTTTTCATTGTACATCCCCATTTTGTTCAGGTGTCCTTTTACTGGGGTATGCCCAGATATGCGTCCTGTTATTGTTTCCACTAGTTGGTATTATTTATAGACAGTATTTCTCCTGTTTCTTTTAAACATGGTCTTTCTATGAAGATTTTCTCATGTGATTTTCTTGGGACATTCTATATCATAATTATTGTGTTTTCTGCGAACATAGTTTTTTATGAATATATGAATCTGGGTAAAGTTATTGCAGTTTTCTGTATCTTCTTTCCATATTCAAGACATTCTTTCCATATTTTGTAAAAATATCTGTTTTAGGAAATCTGGATATGATTTTGAAAGTATCGTTTTAAATTTTATACAGTTTTGTTTTCATATATTTTAGCTTGCTGTAGAAGCAATTGGAAATATAAGGACAGTGGTATCTCTCGGCTGTGAAAAGGTTTTCCTAGAACAATACGTCAATGAACTATCGCCGTATTTGGCAACAGCTAAAAAGAAATCGCACATCAAAGGTATCGTTCAAGGTATGGCTAGGAGTCTGTTGATGTTTTCGTATGCTGCTGGTATAAAATATGGTGCAAATCTAATAATTTCCGGGGAAATAGATTATGGAACAGTTTTCACGTAAGTAAATTTTGTTGAGTACTATGTTTTCGTTATTATAATTGTATAATTATTTTAGTGTTAATGAAGTGATGATAGTTGGTACTTGGTCTGTTGGTAATGCGTTATCTTTATCTCCAAATTTTCAAAAAGGCCTCCTCGCTGCATCAAGAATCATAGCTCTTTTAGAACGAATACCAGCTGTGAGAAATATTATAAATCCCATCAAATCCTTATGGGTGAGTCTTTTCTTGGTATATATTCAGTGTGCCTCCAAAAGATTGGTACCGAACGAACCCGAGAATAACAACTACAGAGAAGGAACAATAACTGTCGGTACTTTGAAATTCGGAGAGTAAAATTTTGTGACCTTGAATTTAACGTACGAGGCGGATGGCCAGTATAATACACCGAGAGAAAAATTATTGGATAGTTAATAAATTCTCCACACTGATAAAAAATATATTAAAATTCAAAATAATATTTTACCTTACTATGTATACCGGGTGTCCGCGCGAAAACTTTAAATGGAATTATTTCTGGTGTTTTAAAATATATCGACTTGAAATTTTAAAAGGTCATTAAAGAAGTAGGGGGTAAATTAATAGTGTATAAGATACCACTCCAACGTGATATCTGCCGCCCCCAGCCACCCCCGGTTCAAAAGTTTAAATGACACCCTGTATTTTTTTTTACATATTCTGAAAGAGCGTAGTTTTTTTAGTATCTCTATGTGAAAAAATTACTTAATTACATAATGAACTTTGAAAGATATTTACAGCTAAAGGTTCAGATACCAGATATTAAAAAAAAGAACTAGTAACCTTGGACAGTAGACAAATTTCAAAATAATTAAAGCAGATAGAAACAAAAAAATCTAATTATCCAAAAAAATATAACTTATCACAAAAAAATACAACTTATCACAAAAAAATACAACTTATCAGAAAAATAGGTATTCTTATAGACCAACAAAATTTCGCTTTATAAACTAAAGTAAGGACTCTTTTTATTTTTTTAGTTAAATCAAATGTTCAAAATGTTCACCGTTTACATTTAAACAATAATACAGTCTATTCTCGAAAGCGTTCCGAATATTTTCAAAGACATGTGGTGTTAAATCTCTACATTCCTCTATGATTCTATTACGCAAATCATCAATGGATTGTGGTGGTGTCCTGTAAACAACAGACTTTAAATGTCCCCATAAAAAGAAATCTAGTGGGGTCAAGTCTGGGGAGCGAGCTGGCCATTCAATAGGACCCCTACGACCTATCCATTGTCCTGGAAAAACGGTATTTAAATATTGCCTTACTTCTAAACAGTAATGAGGGGGAGCTCCGTCTTGCTGAAAGTATAACTGATCCTCCTGCATTTGATCTAAGTTTTCTTCCAAGCACTAAATGATAAGAGGATGTATTAATTCTTCTAAAAACTCGAGATATCTAGGCCCAGTTAAATTCTCGTGATAGAAAATTGGACCAATTATTTGGTTATTTAGAATTCCAGCCCATACATTAATTTTTTGGGGACGTTGCGTATGACCTTCTCGGAAAACGTGGGGATTAACATCGCTCCAATATCGACAATTGTGTCTATTTACGAAACCATTTAAGGAAAAGCAACTTTCGTCACTGCAACAAATATTTCGCAAAATATTTCTATTTTGCCGAATCATGCCTGTCATAGTTTCACAAAATTGGACTCTTCTATCGAAGTCATCGTCGCCCAACTCTTGATGAAGCTGTATTTTATAAGGATGCATTTTATTTAATTTTAATATTTTATGGCACGTTGTTTTTGCCACTCCCGAAGCTTCTGATAATTTTCTAACTGAAAGCTGTGGGTCTAAATTTACGTGACCAAGAACTGCAACTTGCGTTGCTTCATCTCGTGCTCCACGATTATTCATATCATGGTTTTTATTATTTACCGATCCAGTTTCAAAAAATTTTTGTATTAGATTAATTACATAAACAGCAGATACATTTTTGTTGGGATGGTTTTCGTTAAATAATGCTGCCGTCTGCGAATAGTTTCTGTTTGCAATCCCATATAAAACTACAATTTCAGTTTTTTCTTCCAAACTGTAAACCATTTTTCTATTTTTTTAGCTATTTAATTTAAACTAAGTCAAATTTTTTCGAAAACTTTTGTACTAACGAGTAAACAGAAGTGTCACAAACAATATTATTTGACAGTTCAAGCAACGAAGCAGCTTTCCTGGCTTGCTATTATTTTTTGCTTTCGATATTTTGAATATCTGGTATCTGAACCTTTAGCTGTAAATATCTTTCAAAGTTCATTATGTATCTAAGTAATTTTTTCACATAGAGATACTAAAAAAACTACGCTCTTTCAGAATATGTAAAAAAAATACAGGGTGTCATTTAAACTTTTGAACCGGGGGTGGCTGGGGGCGGCAGATATCACGTTGGAGTGGTATCTTATACACTATTAATTTACCCCCTACTTCCTTAATGACCTTCCAACATTTCAAGTCGATATATTTTAAAACACCAGAAATAATTCCATTTAAAGTTTTCGCGCGGACACCCGGTATAATAAAATATTGGTTTTTATTACAGTTAAAACTTTTAATTTGATTTTTCCTTTCCATTTTTTGGCGAGAACAATTTTGTCGCTTCTATGTGGTTGTTCTTCTCGGACATAACTATAGACTTCTGGAATACAAATAGGATGACTTAACCTAACCTATCTACATCCAAAATCGTATGATTAAAATCATTATAAGGCGTGACAGTTTACAAAAAAATAATTTTATGCATAGGAAGAGTAGGCTGTGATCGATTTATGAAATTATTGGTATAACATGTCCTGTGACTATAAGTTACGTTTTGAAAATCAATATGTATAATAAACAAAAATTTCGCAATACAAATTTGGTAATAACCTACACTAAAAACCTAATTATTTTTTAAGATATTTCCTTTACAAATATGTTTTTGTGTCTTTTGTATTTTTTGCTAAATGTTTAGATGACTTCGGGTGAAAAGGAGTGAAGCGCTCCCTGCAAGGGACACTGTGATGACACGCCTGGATTTGACTCAGGACGTGCAGAAACAAGAATAATAATAATAAAATAATTATTTAAAAGTGCATTATTTCACATTACTTTACTACTTTTAAAATAAAAAAATCCTATTAAATCGTTTGAACAAAATGTAGGATCAGTAGTATTTCTGGTCCGCGCAGAACCCCTAGTATTTATCATTGCAGAATCGAAGGACAAATCATCATCACCCCGAAAAGGTGTGTGTGTTACGGGCAGTATCGGTTTGCCCGTAAGGGCACTTGGGCACGCACCCTAGTATAATAAACCAAAAAAAAAAATAACTTACATATTTTATGTTTTTCTCAATGCCTATTATTATTTTATGTAATATTCAGCGCAAATCGCGTTGGCGCGACACTGGACGACCGGGCGTTGAGCGACGTTCCGAGAATTCCGAAAGAAGATGGGCACAGGGCACAGTAAATGTGTGCCTCTGTTGTTTTCTCTCTCATTATGATGCGAAAAACAAGGACAACGACAATATCGCTTAGCAAGAGATAACACATGCGATGGATTATACGTCACAAGCAAGGCGCTGTCCTCAGCGTGACGTGCTATACCCATGGCACAGATTACCTAGACCAGATACGCAGAGGCATCTTTACCGGCTCCCTCACAAAGGCGAAGCAGGTTTCGGCTTAATGTGTGCGTTTATTGGACCATGATAATAATTTATTTATTGTGATTACGAAAAAACGTTAGTTGGACCATTGGAATAGTTAAGAAATAAAACTACAAAGAAAAATAACTTTTTTTTTATAAAGCAGTCAAAAATATGATGAAAAAAAATCAATATTCATAAATGGGACAACATTTTTATTTTTCTTTTGGTTTTGTCTGACTTTTTCGAGGATTTCAAATATCTGTTTGCATATTTAAGAGTATAAAAAATTCTAAGTCTTATAAATAATTTAATGGTGTACATTTTCGCAAATTGTTGGCAAGGATGACCAAATTCTATTTTGCTCATCTCAAAAAGGTATGCGTTGGAAATTCCAGGCTTAGTGGACAAACTATCAAATAGAGATATAAATATTTTTTCTAATTTGAAAATATAAAGAAGAAATTTTTCGCTGGGAGATTTTAAATTGCCAAACACCTTTTCTTTAGAGTCGTTTGCTTTAAAATGCGTTAAGCTAGAATTGTTAAGTAAATTGCATTCTTCTGAGAAATTTACGCACATTTCGCAAGAGTGGATATGTAATGATTTTTTGATTAAATAGCCACATGCATAGTTAAATGCATTTTGAGTGGTCACATTTAGCTCCCTGTAGTCATATTCAGAAATCGTTATTGCCCCAACTAATTGTTTTGAAATATATTTAATTTTCATTAAGCGGAGAACTTGTTTCCTAAGGGAAAAACGAATTCCGGGATTCCTTTCCAGTGTGTGCCCCACTGCCGCTAGTACCCACGAGCCACCACTGGTTACGGGTTGATTTACTGTGTGACAGGAGCTTTGAAGAACTTTCAACAGAAACCTACCTTTGTCTTGATGAGCCATGAAAATTAGAATGGTACATTGGGATTCAGGTATATAAACAGAGAACTAACTACAATACAACACTGATAAATGTACACAGTAAAAGTTGAGCTGAGAAGCTCAAGTCTGCTCTGCTCGAGGGACTTCAAGTTGTATAACAGAGCTTAAACAAATACAATATAGAAAAATTTGAAATAAAAATCTGGAGACCAATTAAAATATATGCGAGGGTATATATATACACCTAATAACACTTTTCAATAATTAAGTCAAATAGAACAATGCGTGAGCATCAACTAACAGCCTGACACCACTATAGCACTCAAGGCGACCCAACATTTCGTTCTGCCTGGGAGAGTGCAGTCGACGGTTCGCTACTACCGCCATCACTTCCCGCACCCCCCACTCTTGACTGCCAATGTTCTTTACATTATATTACAATGAGTTAATTTTTTTACCTGCTAGCATACCTGTTCACACTTACGAAGTCAAAAGAACTGACTGGGTTAATCCTGTGTGGCATAAAAGAGACAAGTTTTGCTAAGAATCTCAGGGGAGTGGCGCTATAAGTCCTCGTCAGCCCTAATTCTAATCAAAAGGATTCTTTGTATGTGTAGTTAACTTCTGTGTAACTAGTCTGCTAATTAGCTAACCGGGATAAAATAAACTTTCACTGAAACTCTCAAAAAACTAGCTCTCTAGGAAAATACTCTAGTAAAGTCGCGAACTTTGTTACCCAGGTGGCAAGTAACGCTTTAGAAACGTTTTAATGAAGTTAGCCTGTGTTGTTCAACGTTATATATAAGGTTAACCGAACGTTTGTTAAGCGTGAGAATGTCAGAAGAAGAAACGTTAATTTTAAACTTGGATTAACGTTTACCTAAAACGTTTGGTAAGCATCAAATTAATTAAAAAAGAATCAAAAATAAAAAGTATTTTAACTATAATATTTATTAACAGAAAAATTGTACATATTTTGTAGTAAATAATACTAATATTTCAACCAGATTTTTTTCGATATTTCGATATTATTTTTTTTTGGTTGAATTAGTATCTTTTATTAAAAATTTACCAATGAAAAAACAAATATTTAGATACTTATGTCTAAATCAAAGACACACAGAGAAACATTTTGTAACTGGTTTCTGTAACCTATTTATTTTTTGTTGATCTGGTTGTAGACTCGATCTACTGCTTAGAGAGTTTTTGTGTAAAGGATACGTGTGAGCAGTTTGTAGCACCTGTTGAGACATGTTATTGGTCTATAGTTCTCTGGTTGTGAAAGGTCTCCGTTTTTTGAAAGTAGCACAGTACGTCATGAACAAACCAACCCGGAATATGCTGTTGTCCATTCAGCCAAGAGTTAAATGTCCTGTCCAAATGTGGGTGGACACGTATTTGTTCCCTCTAGAGCGCTTCGAACGTTAATTGTAGTAATTGGTCGTTGTTGTATTTGGTTTTCTGGGAATTTTCTGCAGAATGCTTCAAACTGTCCTAAGGCTGGAGTGTCTTAAATAAGGGGTTATTGTCCCTCGTAATGCCTTTTCCAGAAGGTTTCCACTCGCTCCACTGTAGGTGGATCCTCGACAATGGAGGTGTTTTGAAAATATTCCTTCTATTCCAAACACTTGATTCACCTCATCAGAGTTTGCTTAGCAATCATAAGCATCCATATTCTATCTGAGCAGTGCTATTTGATGATACCAAGTACCACAGAATAAGTGTGTAATAGGTGCGCCTTAAGAAAGCGCTATGCGGCGCACTTTTGGCATGAAACACTTGTTGGTTTCTGTGTAGTCCACACAATGGATATGAGAGGCTTGTTGTCTCACTGCGTGGATCTTCGCTTCCATCTTTTGTACTCGTTTCTCTGCTTTCCGATGTGATGCAGGTTTATTTGGTTTACATCGGCAAATATTTCTGACATATTCATATACGACTCAATTATTCAATTGCTTGGTCAGGAATGGCCAAATCAATATGAGCATTGGCCTTTCTTAAATCATTTGGATTAACTGACTTTGGTAGGTGCCGTACTCTTCTGTCACTTAGGTCTTCTGGTGTCACTTCGACCAGAATTATTACTTACTCGTCTTCAACCAGTTGCTCAACACCACCGCTCCCGCATACGAGCCTTGTATCCCCTTCGATTCGAGCTACTGCATTCGTGATAAAATAAAAGGTCAAATCGTCTACCAGTTACTATTATTATTAATTTTTAATTTTCGCGTCTTATACCGGCTTAACCAGATGATTTTGGATATTGATTAGCATATACTCGTAAGCATGACTCGACCTTTTAGAAGACACCCTACCATAAGTATAAGTTTGCAGTTACTTGCATTTTTTACTTAAATGAATTTATTAAATCATTTATACGAATGTTATTTCTAAAATTACAAATAACTATGTTGCAGTCAAAATATATGATTTAAGTAGAGAATATTAGACATCAATGTTCATTTAAATTTATAGTTAACTGTAATTTTTGCAGACATATTAGCTTTTTTAAAAAAAAGATGACCTATAATCGGTGATAATATCAAAAAAAGAGTTGAAAATTGGAAAAACATATTTGCTAATAATGTGTATAGTTGTTTATAGTAATATGAGATAATAATTGTTTATGAACACTTTTTGATATTGAATTAAGAATTGAAAAAACGATACGATCTCTAGGGTTATTTGCAAGAATTATTATCAAGTTAGTGACAACTGTATCTGTTACGTGTGGAGGGTAGGTTACGCTTATGGCACTTAGGCCTCTCTAGGCCCATTGTGCATCCTCTTAAGATGATAGGCACTTCCTAGCTCATGAGCCAAACTACAGATTTAATGTAGTTGGCAACGACGCCAAAAGGTGCTTCTCTTATACTTACCGGTGTTAGCCGATACTCGCCGATAATCGCCGAACACAAATCTTCTAATAAATAAGAGCCTCGAACAATTGTAGAGAATATGCTCGATGATCTTATCTTTTTGTTCGCACCTCCTGCAGAGTGCGGATTTTGACCAGTCAGAACGCTTGTGACTAGGCGCACATTCTATCAAGTCATAGTCAAGCATTTGTTTGCTGCAGTGTTGTCAGGATAAGCTACCTGGCAACTACGCAATTTCTTGTTTTATTCCATCTTTCCTTGAATTTCAGAAGGGAATGTTCTTTAATTAGGTCTGTCAGGCCAATAGAGAGGCCAGGTCCAAAAAGTATTTGGACCTGGCCCTTCTATTGGCCAGTCGATGACATTCAATTTATTAATTCTTATTTGTAGGACGACGAAAGTATAGAATTTTCCCAAATATATTTTTCATATCCGACAAGACCATCAGTATCAATTTTAAACGCTTTGAATTTATCAGTATTAAAAGGAAAAACTGTTGCATTAGTTGGATCTAGTGGATGTGGTAAATCGACAATAATTCAATTATTAGAAAGATTCTATGATCCAGGATATGGAGAAATTTCAATCGACGATGTTGATACCAAAAATATGGAATTAAAAACTTTAAGATCACAGCTTGGGATAGTTTCGCAAGAGCCTAATTTGTTTGATCTGACGATTGCTGAAAATATTGCGTATGGAGATAATTATAAAACTGTCGACATGGATACTATAATTGAAGCTGCCAAAGCTGCTAATATTCATAAATTTATAACGCAACTTCCATTGGTACGTTTTGTATATATTTAACAAAATTTTGGCATTTATAACTGTTTTAAATTACTTTTAGGGGTATGAAACTAAAATCGGTAGTAAAGGATCCCATCTTTCCGGAGGACAAAAACAAAGAATTGCTATAGCTCGAGCTTTAGTGAGGAATCCTAAAATACTTCTTTTGGATGAAGCTACTTCAGCTTTGGATAACGAAAGTGAAAAGGTTTGTAAATTTATTGTTGTAAAATTGTTTTCTATAACCTTTAGGTTCCAGGTTCGATCCCTGGTCGATGCACTCATTTTTTGTTTCTTTATTCTTTGGTTTGTGTTCACTTTAGGCATACAGGGGTTTAATTTTTATAATTTTGTAGGGGCAGTTGGGAATTATTCATTTTTATGTTTCCGAAATAATATATTTTACCTCATCATAATTATCTTCTTTACCGACAAGATTATTAGAGTATCGTAAACATCAACAGCATCATCCTGCAAATATTTTTGTGATAAAAGATTAAAGTATCATGAACTTTATTTCAGATTGTTCAAGAAGCTTTGGATAATGCTAGAAAAGGTCGTACTTGCATTACAATAGCTCATCGTTTAACAACAATCCAAGATGCCGATGTAATTTGTGTTCTGAAGGAAGGGTTTGTAGCTGAAATGGGAACACACCAAGAACTCCTCGATAAAAGAGGATTGTATTATAAATTCTATAAGTTACAGTCTGTACAAAGTGTGAAATAAAAATTATATATTAGTATTCCGTTACTTTTTCTGATTACTATTTTTTAGTGTTGCGTCCTCAATTTGGCAAAAATGAACCAGTATTCAATCCCTCGGCGTCTGCCTATCTATGTGTCTATCCGTCTGTCATAAGCTTTGAAACAGCTGGCACGTATATCGTAATAATTCTCAATGTCAAACTTGTGGAAAATCGAAAAAAAAAACATATTGCTATAAACAAAATATTTACATTTTACTGCTTTTTAATGTAATCTGCTGATCGTTAAGAATTATTTCATCAATCCTTTATTTATAAAAAAAATAACTGTATTATATTTTTAAAAAAATATTTTCACTAGATATGCACCATATTTTCTTCTGCGAGATAATTACATGGCTCATTTTCCAAATTGTTGATTATTGATTTGTTGCCTAACCAAATTCCCGTCATTCGTCCAACCGTTTCCATTGGGAACTTTCCAAAATGTTTAGTTACATATCCCAAAGATTTTTGATTGAAAATACTCCTGGGCACATTTATATGGGAGACGATCAAATACCCAGTGTAGTGCATTAATCCTATTCCTGGTAAAATTTCATTTTTCATATACATGAGCGACGTAAACTTCAATATTAGTTTTTTTTAAACTTCAGTATCATTAGACTGTCGTGCATCATTGATTTTTTAGTCGAAAAGGTTTTCTTTTACACATAGAAGGGTACGAAAATTCCGTTTTGACCATTTTCCGTGTCATAATCATTCAACCGTTTTACCTCACTAATTTTGATCATTGGGAAATTTATTTTCCGTCTACAGGGAGCGCTGTAGTTTTCCGCATTAATTTTAGTTTTTTATAATTCACCTGCTACATTTATTTAAATTTAATTGTTGGGAAATTTATTTTCTGTATAGCAAGAGCGTTGTAAATTTCCGTATAGGTAATTTAATTTTACTTGGTAGTTTCTTTTTAAATCGCTTTGTTTGACTAATTTTGTTCAGTGAAAAGTTGATTTCTCGTATACAGGGTGGAGTATATTTTCTTCGTAAATTTTAAACTGTTTATTTATTTCAACTTATTTGTTTTTGAAAATTAATATTAATTTATGTAAAAAAAAATATTTTCTGTATACAGGGTGGAGTTTAATTGTTTCCTGAATTTTTGAACAATTAATTATTTTAATTCATTTTTTTGCGAATTAATTATACCATTGGTAAACAATTTTAATTTAAATTAAATTTTATTCCCTGTATACAGGGGGAATCATAAATTCCCGTTTAATTATTTGATTTCCTTGTACAACTCGAACGATCTTTGTGACCGGGGTTCTTGTGTTAGGAATTTGTTTCCTATATACCGGGGAAGCCAATTTCGCGGCCAAGATGTTATTTTTTTTTAAATATATACACTCTGCACAAAAATTAGCGCATCACTATTAAAAGTGACAAAAAGTTTTTCTCTATTTAATTTTTCGATATATTTAAGTATTGGGACACCCTGTATATTAGTTTTGCATACTTGCAAAAAAGGATGGGTTTTTTTATGTGTAAATGTTTCTGAAAAATAAATACTAATACTTTGAAATTGCAACCAACTTTCGCGATTAGTTCTTTTCAATATTTAGTAAAGTTAACTTGGTTTTTGTGGTATTTAATTTTGAAAATTATTGCAATGAATAATCCTGACCGCCAGAAATGAAATTTGGGACATGAAAAGTGGTTAGAATCATTACATTACTTGAAGAAAGACGTAGTCAACGTTACATTGCAAATGCTTTTGATGTTCAACAATCAACAATTTCCAGGGTAGCTGCCCGGTTTAGAGAAACCAGGATCGTCCAAGGGTTACCACAGCAGCGGACACCAAATTTTTAACATTAACCGCTCTTCGAACTAGACACTGTACACCGCGAATGCTCCAAAACGAACTAGCCGTTGCCCGCATTACAAGAATTTCTGTGCAAACAATAAGAAATCGTCTTCGGGAAGAAGGAATTAGAGCCAGGGTGGACTTGGGCGTGTTGCACGGTTGGAGTTTGCCAGAAATCACGTGAATTGAGATATAGACGATTGGTTTAATGTTCTGTATTCTGATGAATTTATATTCAGCCTGTTTTCATCTGATCGACGAATTTCAGTCTACAGGCGTGTTGGCGAACGATACTTTCAATGTAACATCAGAGAAACGAAACCTTTTGGAGGTGGATCTGTTATGATGTGGGAAGGAATTTCTTTTGCGGAGTTAGTACCAGTTGTGGGAAGAAATTTAGCAGCTGTAAGATATGTAACGGACATTCTTGAACCCGATGTTGTACTTTACGGTCCATTCACTGGTGACAATTTTGTTTTTAGTTGGTATTCCCACATTGAATTGGTCAGCTGGAAGCAGGGCCGCCGAGAGCCAGATCGGGCCCCAGGACAATTCTCCAGCTCGGGCCCCATGACAATTTTATAAAAAATATTTCTCCTCCTCTTTACTTAAATGTCTCTAAAAAAAGGTCTTCAACCAAAAACTTCTCTTTATCTATTGAATTTTCTTAATAAAAAGGTCTTCAAACAAAACCTTCTCCTCCTTTACTTGAATTTCCTAAAAAAAAGATCCGCAAGCTAAAAATTCCCCCTCTTGTCTTGTGTCGAACTTCTGAAAGAAAACGAAAATCCTCGCCACGGTTGCCGGGCCCCCCTTATACCGCTGTCGGGTCGCGTATTGGCATTGTTTACTATGCTGCAACGCATACATATTGTTGCAACGCAGTAAAGAATGACTGAACAATCGCCTCTCTATACCCAGACAAATCTTACTGCGTCTCAGCACTGGCAGGTGTTCAGACGTAGTAACTATTGTATTATGGATACGCTGCTATTCTCGAGGCATTCTTTACCGCGTTACAGGCGAAACCACGCAAATTTGCTTTCTTTTGTGATTTTGTAGGACTATATCATAAAAATATCATAATAATAATAATAATAATAATAATAATATACTATCGTCAAAAATAGTTTATTAAACCTCACTAAAATACAAAGGGCACAATAAATACAAAATCCACTGGTCATATTACATTTATATTTATTTAAAAAAAACTGTTATAAATTACGAAGTTTAATCCTAGTGGGCATTTCCATGTGATTTCGCATTTGGTCTATTAAGATCAATATTTTTCTTTAAAGATCTTTGTCTTTTAGGGTTGTTTGGTATCTCCTTGTTGGATGGGCTCCTAGCTTGACTGCGCTTTGCTCGATGTTGAGTTGGAATGCGGTAAACAATGCCCCGAGAATAGCAGCGCATCCATAATACAATAGTTACTACGTCTGAACACCTGCCAGTGCCGAGTCGCAGTAAGATTTGTCTGGGTATAGAGAGGCGACTGTTCAGTCATTATTTACTGCGTTGCAACAATATGTACGCGTTGCAGCATAGTAAACAATGCCAATACGCTACCGGGCCCTCATTTGTGACCGGGCCCCGGGAATTAGTCCCGGCTGTCCCCCCCTTTAGTCGGCTCTGGCTGGAAGTCCTGATTTAAATCCAATAGAGCATGTCTAGGACAATTTATGTATGTGACAATTTGCCGGAACAATTGATGCAAAGCCTGATTTTAAGTATGCCACGTCGATGTTTGGCAGTACTTAAAGCATGGGGTGGTAATACAAGGTATTAATTTTGTTTTATTTATCGATTGCATCCAAATTACTTTTTTAAATTTGTAAAAAGATCGAATAAATTTATTTGGTACCTTCTTTTATTTTTTTGCCATTATTGCATACAAATATTTCTTAATTTATAGGACATCAGACTTAAAAAAAAATGCAAAAATTTTACGTTTTGTAAGAAAATTGAAATGGTACGTTAATTTTTGTGCGGAGTGTATTTTGTTACTTATCCCTGTGTTTGTTTTATTACCGGCTTTTGTCAGTTTTCTTTCAGGGTACCGTAGAGTACAAGTTATAAGGGAGATAAGTGCTAGAATCCTAATGTAGGGGCTACCTTTAGGAGTGACCGCCACTGAGTTTATATTGAGTACACTCTGGTGTGCTACAGGGTCGCAGAGCAAAATGCGTTACTAAAACTGGCGCCTGAGGAACCCCTATTCTGAACTCACCATCATAGCGCCATACAGACTTTCTAATTCATCGTAAGTGGAATCGGAAGCATATGGCGGGCTCCAGTTTGTGTTTTTATTATTGAATTTTTTCAAATTATTGTTTTATTAAATAATAATTTATAAAGTTTTGGGTAATTATTTAGATATATTGTCTTAAATGTCAAGTTATGGAAACTATTCAAAAATGATAACTAATTATAATAGAGAAAAGAAAATTTTATATTTCACGTAATTATGACCAGAAAAAACTGCCTTAAAAAAAAGTTGTAAAACTTCGGTTGTTTATTGTATTGTTTTTACTTACTTTTTTGAAAAACAAAAGTAAAATGTATACGTGTATTTGATACGCCAAAATTACAAAATATCTCGTAATGAGCGATCTTGGATAAGTAAATAGTAAGTATTTTGCAAACTATTGTTTGGTGTAATTTCAACTTGGTCTTGTTCAATTGTGTTATTTTTCAATTTATTTACTTGATGATGCTGACGATTGTGATCTTATTGTTACGCAGCACCCTGCAGTAGCCTGCGGCTATTATAGGAAACGAACACATAGAAAAAGAAGTGGAATGTTACTCATCGCCCTACACTGTGCTGCGGTCGTCATCAGTAAAAGTACAAGTAAAAGAAGATAGAATAATCCAGAAAGGTCGGGAAATGTCATTACCCGTCAAGAATATTCTAGACGACAGTTCGAGAAGGTTCGAGAAGGGTCAAAAAACTAGTTTTCAGTTTTCAGTTTTATGATAGACGTTACATAAATAAATTGCGATACCAAAAAACCTGTGTAATATTATTTTAAATTTTCGTGGTGATTCTTTGTTTAAAAGTTGAAAATGTCGTATTGTTGTGTGCTCAATTGTTTTGTAAACACACTGAAAAGGCATCGTTTTCCCAAACTATATCCTAAAAATGAATTATTTCAAATTTGGGTATTGGCTGTTCGCAGTCCGTTTTTCAATAATAAAACAACACAATAAATTTGTAAAATCTATTTAGCATGTGATAAACATTTTGAAGATATGTTTAAAACTTCTGGTACTCGCAGAGACCTTACTTTTTTTACTCATCCCTCACTTTCCCTGCTTTTTATATTGATTA